ACCTGCCACTTACACAGGCATAGGGATCGAGTCACCTGGGCTTTCTTGATCACCCGTTGTGTATTGATGGATCAGCTTTGCGCCAGCCATCGCACAAGAGTCGGTTGAAGGCACGTCCTCGATCCAACGCAAGCTACCTTAGTCAATATCAGGGCATGGATGTCTTCTTCGGAGCGCGTTCTGTTACCGCAGGTGTTCCAGACACTGCTTTCCACACGCAGGCCATTCGCTGGCCGGCTTGTCATCAGTTGGCAACTCGCCCGTCATCTGTCGGCCACTTCACTGAACGGCCTCTTGGTACGTGGGTTACTTGGTCAAGGTCTTGGGCCACATGTCTCAACATCATTGCATGCCGGACATTTGTCTCGCTGACAAGATGCCTGGAGCTGCACGGCTTGCTTACCTATGCAGGCCTGCCACTGAAAACCTGATTCTGCATCTGCAGCCGTTCATGAAATCCCCATCTGGCACTTTTTGCGACCAAGCCCTTGAACCGATGGAAAATCTTGTTGCTGCGCCGTAGCACATCGAATGCTTTCCTACCCCGGATCACTTCATCTAGGCCGGGCGGTGGATTTCGCTGTGGGGACGAATCCTTCCTCCCTGTTGTAGCGGGACAGGCATCTTGACATGCAGAGATTGAGTTCTCAGGCTCCTTCTCTCGTCAGGCGCCGGTCTTGAGTAAAGCACGCCGATGAAGAGCAGGAGGGGTCAGCGAGATCGGGGCGCTCCTCATGACCCAGCCGGATCTGACGACATCCAGTGCCGGCACGATCTGTTGAGATGTGATCACATAATGATCATAACGAAGCTCACTTTTGCGGGTCAAACCCTCGCTCCACTCTCCGGTGCCCGTTGGCTTATGCCTAGATTTGAAAAATGCGAGAGCAAATCATCTCGACGGAGTTGTCCAACACGGGTCATCATCGACTGGTGCAAATGTTTTCGTCACTGGAAGCAATAGTCTGCCGGGCTGTACTGAACTTTCCATCCTTGGCACTTTTGTTCAGCAGAGCAGAAATTGCATTTGGGTGCCCTGGAATCCGACCGAGTTTGCAAGGGTCGGTACACCCACTTTGGCTTCACGCGAACGATTGCGGTTCCAACTTGCATCTGACTGGCGCAGGATCGCGCCTGGAAGATGGTGTGCAGCGTCAGAGACGACTCACTTGTTGAGCCGATGTGTCCAGCCCGACGAATGACCGGGAGTGAGGTTTTTTTTCGGTCTTGTGTCCCTTGCATTAGCCCTGCCCTGATGGAGGGTTACCACGGTAGGCCATTCGTCAGTCCTGCAAAATACCTGCAAAGAAGACGGAAGCGAAAGGGAAGAGACGGGTGACGGGGACTATCCGCAGTCTGGCCGCGCGTTAGAGCTTGAGCGGAAGGCCGGCGACGTTATCCTGTGCAGGGCATATTTCCTGTTACGGCGATTCCGTCGCATTGCGGCCCATCGTTGACTGCCAGCAATGCTTACTCGCATGTGAAGTTGCAAGCGCCTACTCTCCCGGTCTCCAAGGCTGCGTCAGTCGAACGTAAAGTTGCAGAGCCTCTGAGAGACGCTAATCGGGTTTTTGCCCCGGGATGATATAGCCCTGCGGTACATCGCCTTCAGACCGGTCTCGACTCGGACAGAACCCCATTGGCTTGCTACCTTAGACAGTTGATCGTCGCCGGTGGGAAAGTCTGAGGCGGCAGCGTTCTTTCTCGAATTTATCGGTGGATACAGCCACATAGCGATCAGTCCGTCGAGCGACGAGCGGCAAGCGGCAAGCCACGTCGGTGTTCCATTCTCAACAGAAAATGTCAGAATTTTCTCCGGTGCCGATGGTGCCCGAAGTTAATGACCCTGTGGCGGCGAACTGATGCTATCTTTGGGCCAGGGAAGTGGCTACCACGAGGTCGAAGACGACGGTCGCAAGCCTCCCGTTGAGGCGGCACCGAGCAGTTTGAGATCTTCTTCTTTATTCGATCCCCGGATGAGGGAAGACTGCCCGCCTGTCCACGTACTGCATTACGATCTGTTACAGATGGCGGATACTGTGCTTCGAAAAACAGGCGTTTAACCTTTGTGTTGGCTTGAAGCTTTTGGGGTAACCTGAAGCCATCCATTATACGGCCACAGAAGACAATGGTGGCTATTTCGCAGTCATTCAAAGTCTCTTGGCACTGAAGCGGTGGTTTCGGCCAGGTCAGACCGCACCAAGTCCGGGACGGCGGGCTTCATCCTGCCGTCGATTCGGTCGTGCGCTTGTTGATATGGCCCGTTGCTATAGTCTGCCAGCCATCCGCGATGGTGCGGCATGGCCATCTGGGGGAGAATCATTATTCGCACGCCGCACGATGCTCCCAGGGGCTCGAGGCACCAGCGCCCATCTTCCATCACCATCTCGAGCGCACGGCGGTTCCAAATGCGGAAACAGGCTACCAGATAGCCGCAAATAGATCGCGGCTTTCTCAGCGAATCTCCCTGCGACACCGAAATATTTCGAACGCCCTGCATCAGGTTCTCAAGGCTGCCTAAACCTTTCTGGAAATTGAACCTTGCTCCCTTCAAAGTCATTCAAGCTTGGTATTGCCGGCTTGCAGCCGCAAAGAGCTTCGATTAACACCAGTAGAGACTGAGTATTGCGCTGCAAAGACAAAGTCAATGCGGAACACGAAGAGCAGTCAACTTACGCTTTTTCCCGCTCATTATCATGAGTGCAGGCCTCTTGTACCCGCGAAGTCGCGAAGAGGCGAAGATGCACACGTACCTGCAAGGCTCTTCTGACCTTACACCCCCGCGAACCTCGTGGCAGCATGGACTGGCGCCAGGACCATTCGGTCCCGAGAACGCTGGTTGTGATGCAAAGGCTCGGCGCCACAAAGGTCTTAGACCATGATCGCCCGTCAACACGCGATAAGGACCTTATCCAGTGTAGTCCGGCGATGATGTGCTGGCTGCGACACACCAGACCCCGGATCGATCTGCGCAATCTACCACCATCTCGTGGTACGGTGCACTGATGGGAAGCAGGGCTCACTTGATGACCTGGGACCATGGGACAACCATCGACTGGCGATGTTACTCCAGGTCGCGCCATATCAACTTTGAAGTAAGGCTTCAATATCATACGGGGCTGGCCTCCCACTTATCGGCGACTGGTCGCAGTCGCGATGCATGGACACGCGCCGGTCTCGCAATCCGCGGACGGCACAGGATGCCCAACGTCATGTCAGGCGCGCAGCGTGCCGACGTAACGAGGTTCTCCCGACGTCTTTCACGCGCTGCCTTGCCGCCCATCACACCTGTCCATTGGACCACGTGTGCGGCCAGCGGTAAACCATGTCTCCTCGTCACGGATGCAGCAGTGGCCTTTGGACGGAAAGAGAGAGCACGAGCAGACCCTGCGAAGTTGAGCCGTGACAGTTGCGCCCGCTTCGCGATGAGAGGATGCTAAGGTTTGATGTGTTCTCGCTGTTCGTTATTTTCGGGGAGTTCATCTGGAGTATATTCCCCGTGGGGGGCGTGCGGAAGGGTGGGAGGTTAGGCGCTTTGGTACGTCGCGGTTCGCGGAGGTGGGATTCCGGGGAAGACGGGCTGGTTTCACTTGTGAACCTTGCCTGATGCGGGGGAGGAATGCTGTTGGCTTTTTTCTTTGTTTACGAAGTTTTACGACAGTGATGGTTTTCGCGGCGCGACGAGAGAGATTTGAAGCTGACGAAGCTGACGACTGTACAGGCTCATTTGGGAGGTGAAGCGAGATTTCTCTTTTTGGGGGTTTTCGTCTTGGATTGTTAGCTTGGGCGTCGACGACGTCCTTATGTGTGGCGTCATCTCATTCGTCGACCATCGCGAAGCGGTCGCGGGAGGGCCGGGGCGCGTCAGAGATCGCGGGCGGGAGAGCGATGGCGTCGCGCAAGGCTTTTGACGATGTTCTTGACGCTGGCCGATGGGGGGCATGAGCGGGCGGGCGCGGTGATATTGGTTTGTGGGATAATTATCCCACGATGCACGGCGGTGATGAGGTGTGTGATATTGGGGGATATCCGGCCGGCCGTCACCTTCGCGGATGCGGGATGCAGGTACCGCGGCGGTGGTAGCGGGACCAGCGCGCGTATAGTGTCGTGCTGCGTGTTGCGGGCGGATCGTCTGAAGGGGCCATGCCGGTTTGTTATGCGCAAGCGCGACGTCATGGTTAAGGCGGTGGCGAGGTGCAGTACAGTGCAGGGCTGCAAAAAGGCCAGACCCGGCCGAGCGTGAAGAGGGCAGACAGACTGAGGGCGTCATTTTCGTGTTAGCAGGGCTGCAGGAAGGAAAGGCTGATAAGGGACGTTTCTTCTGTGCTTCTGGACTGGGTTGGAGGAACACATGCTCCGTCGTCCGCGGATGGCCGAGGCAGAGGCATTGATGTCAAGGCTGGAGGCCTGCTCGGGGCACGTCTGCTTGGATCGAGTGATGCAAGAGGCTTTCTGGGTGTTTGCCTCTGTTCTTTTGACTCGTTGATTTTGGATGCGAGGGCGGACTGGGCGACTCACTCGGGCGAGTGGCAAGTTGGGTGCGCTCGAAGGACATCGAGGTTCCGGACGAGTGTTTACTCCCAGGCGAGCCGCACGTCTTTCGAGTCAGCCTAGTGGCAAGGCAGTGTCAACACGATCTGTCCTGGAGCTAATTACACGACTCGCAAGAAGGGATGCTCGTACTGACAGGAATAGTGCTCTAGGATGCGAGGCTGAGAAAAATCGTCCGCAAGTGGCTTGAGTTAGGCATCGCAGGCAGCAGCGCGGAAAGCGGGGTTTCGTTGGTTTCTAGCTACAAACTAGCCCCTTCATCAAACAATTCACTCCTCTTCGGTCCCGGAATTCACGGCGGGGTGATTATGCGTGCTTGTGACTCATTTTGCGGCACAGAATCTGGAACGTCTCGGTGGACGTGGGATGCGAAGGAATCGTATAAGTCTGTCTCTCATTTTCGTCCAGCGACCGGCGGACGTTTGACACTTGCATCGTCAACTCCCACTATGGCGCCCGCAAAAAAGAAAGCATGCACCCACCAGACCGTCCTCATCGACGCGTCAGACTACGGCCGCAAGACAGCCGGCTTCGAGCGCGTGCCCGTGGACAAACGCATCGCTGCAACGACGCGCTCCGGGAGGGTCCCCGACGGCGGTGCATCGTCGCTCGGCCCCACCGCCGGCCCGGACGCCTCCACTTTTCCCGGCCCGCTCGTCTTCCCTGACGACGAGCTCGCCCTGCACCCGCGGTACCCCCCGCAGAGCCTGCGGTCGTGGATCAATGGCGGGTACCGCAACCCGATCACGCACGACCGCAAGACGCTGTACGTCGCGGACGTGCCGCGGATCGATGACAGCGCGGCGTTTATGCGGGAGTGGGCGGAGCCTGATGTCGAGGACCTGGTTGACCCGGCGGAGTTCCCGCGGCTGGAGCATCCTGACACGAGGGACTTGATGAAGTACTTGGCGGCGTTTTATCACCCGCTCGAGGTGAAGTTGCTGCCCACTCCGATGAGGTTCGTTCGCTGGGAGGCTGGGGGAAAGGCGGACATGGTCGGGCTGGCGACGGGAACGACGGTGGTGGGCGTGCGGGCGCGGCCGAGCAAGGATGAGATTGCAAGGATGCAGCTGAATTTGAGCGATTTGCTGGACGCGCTGATGGGGGTGGTGCCGCGGGACGCGTATGCGTGCGTGCTGGTGGTCGCGCAGGATCTGTATGAGGATGAGGAGGACGACTTTTGTTGCGGGCGGGCGTTTGGCGGGAGTCGGATCTCGGTGGTGAGTAGTTTTAGATACAGGCCGGTGCTGGATCTGGCGTTTGGGGTGGAGGTTGGGCATATGTGGCCGCTGGCGCATTGTGCGAGGTTTGTAGAGGGGTTTTGTGAGGAGTTTGAAAATGAGAATGGCGGCGGGGAGGAGGGGGGAAGGAAGAGGAAGCGTGGTGGGAGAGCGGTTTTTGACGGTGAAGCGGTACTTGATCTGAAGAAGAAGCCGCACACGGCTCTGGGTGCTGCGATTAATGCTGCGAAGAAGGTTGTCGTGCCGAAGACGAAGGAGGACCAGCGGGGGCTGTGGTTCTCGAGGGTCGCGAGGACGGCGGCGCATGAGTTGGGCCACTGTTTTGGGATGGATCACTGCGTGTACTATGCGTGTGTCATGCAGGGCACCGCGGGGTTAGGGGAGGACGCGAGGCAGCCGCCGTATTGGTGTCCTGTCTGCGAGGCGAGAGTTGTGTATGGGCTTGGGGAGATGGGGGTTGTGGAGGGGGGGGAAGGGGGGCAGGTGGGTTGAGGGGAGGCAGAGGGAGGTTGAGAGGGAGAGGATGGAGGCTATGAGGGCGTTTTGTGAAGGGTGGAAGGGGGTTGGGATGTTTGCTGGGTATTGGGGATGGCTTGGAGAGAGGTTGAAGACCAGCCAATAAACAAAATATAAGGTTAGAAGCGCGGTCTGACCGTTGAGATTCTTCAATTCTTCTGAGACTGCCATACTTACCTGTGTGTGTACGGCTTCATTTCCTGTGTGTTCAAGCAATCCTGTCAAAGACAGAAGCAGAAGATATTCTTAGTAGAGAGTTGATAAAATTTGTTTTTGGCAACCTTGGCCCAGCGAGACGAGAAACACACTGAATCATGAGGAAGATAGGCTCGCGGAGCTCCCTAAAGATCCTTCATACTCCGTGTCTTCAATCCACACATCTTCCAGAGGCGGAGGGTTTAATCCCTGGTTCTGGTCCGCTAGCCTCTGCAGCTCGGTGCCACAAAGCGGATACATCTGTGGAAGAATGTCTCTCAGAGACACAATGCCACGCTCCTCAGTACGAGACGCCATGAACATACCTATTTTACTCTCTGATCTGAACCAAGCGGGAGTTTCATCCAGCCAGTTTTCTCCCGAAAAAATGTAAAAGGCTTCCCTTTTTCCAGGCCACCAAATGGCAAACAGGGACGTGCTGTTCTGGAACCAGACATCGCAATCCGCTCCGTACTGAAGAAAGAGTCTAATGAATTTCTCAAATATATTTTCGGGGTCTTGGCAGCTCAAAGAATGCACCAACCATAAATACCAGCACTTCGCCACTGGTTGCCCAGACCAAGCCTGGACAGATTTTGTGTTTGCTGACAATCCCGCTTCAAAGAATCTCGACAAAATTTCGAAAATGGCCAAGCAATGACCCTTTCTTATAGGCTTAAACTCCTGTAAAAAGTGAATGTTGACCACTCCGGTCAAGTAGTTGTCCAAAATGATGTCTTTATGTTGTATGATTCCATTCTCAGTGGAAAACTGACGGCAAAGCTCGTTCCCCGTTTCGTGCTCAAACCCGTGACGCAAATTAAGTCTTTGAAGGACAAGATACAATGCATCATCAGCTGACAAGTAGACCGCACCGTATGAGTAAAAGCGGTCTCTTATGGACCGATCCATTGCCCCATCGAAGGCTAATCTTAGGTTCAAGTGATGAGATTTGACGACCTGCAACACCTGCTGCAGAAGGAGCGCGAGGCGAGTGCCGTCCATGCTCGAAGAAGCGCATTGCTCCATGTGTACTAGGCTTTCACAAAAAGTAAGAAGCTTTTCTCTGGTGAAATGAACGGACGGTCGAAACATTTTCAGGCATGCTACGAGAGCCTGGGAGTGGAAGTCTGCTTCGTCGAAGTTTCCTGCATCGATACGCGCGAGTTCTTCGATTCTTGGCCTGGCGAGAAACTCATGCACTGTCCTGTGTATGCATCGAACTCTGGGTTGGTACATGAAGCGGTGATTGAACTTGCCGTCTTCATCAAACCTGACGTGCTTGTGGAAGTACTCGTCCTTCGATTCGCCACTAACGAAGCTTCTGGAACCCCAATAACTCGACGAAGATGAACTTTCGGCGTCTCTCGTCAGGCCGGCCTCGTCTTCAATGTAACCGCCAGCCTCGCTCGTAGGCAGTGTAGTTGTTCGTTGGCTTGAGAAATGAATGGAGGCCATGACGCCTTGCTCTTTTGGAATACGTGGCTTATAATACTCAGGTTCGTCGTCAGAGGGAACCGTGTATGTTTCCAAGAGGCCCATGCATCTTTGGTAGATCATTCTTCGAGCCTTTTCTATCCGTTCTCTCTGTGTCGAGTTTTCCATTTTGCCTAATGGTAAATTGATGGCGAAGTCCTTGTCTCTTTCGTATTCGTCAATGAACGAGTAGTACACGAGTGGAACTTGAAACAGAGACGGCCAAGGTATCGACTCTTCCCTAGCATTAGCGTAGCGTGAAACTGTGAGAATCGTCCGCATAGCTCTCATTTTATCGATTTGGCTTGTGTGACCTCTGTTTCTTATAGAATTGAATATTGATTGATAAAGGGCTTCCAGCTCGTTAGGCAATGCGCTGATTCTTGCCTCGAGCTCTCTCACACTTTCCCCGGACAACAACCCCCAACCTAGACTCCGAAGAGTGATTTTCACCCACAAAAATACGCCCTCGGCCTTTTGTGTTATTATGTGGGCGAGATCGAGTATCTCGGGGCTTCGAAGAGAGACTTGGGTAAACTCTTCATTTTCGTAGAGTTCTTCATTGACGTAGGTTTGCATATCTCTGCGCGTGATTTCTTGGAGCTTGATCCTGGGGCAGTCGGCCAGTCGCTGTGTAAAAATCTCCCATTCCCTGCTTGAGACGCAGAGTTTGATATCACTTTTGTGTTCTTTGGTCCATTTGAGGAGCGTCTTGAGCATCCCGTCATGGTCTCCGTGATATTCATCCAGCCCATCGATAAAAAAGACGAGTCTATGAGACAGAAGGAAATCTGTCTGTTCAAAGAGCGCTTGAAGAGCCATGTTAACATCTTTAGTATGAATTGAAACCAATTTATCATCGAGTACTGATTTCCAGTGGCGCGGGAAAACATTTTCTGTAAGTCCTGGAAGCTCTTGCAAGATGGCGTATAGCAAAGCCCGTCGAAGCCCGTGGAGGGACTTCTGAACATCGATGCCTAGTCTCCAGAAGAAAAAGTTTGTCGTCATCAACAACTTATCTCCGGCCCAAGAGCTAAGAAATTCCTGGTCCATCGGGCTTTGGCAGAGATATTTCATGAGAGTCGACTTCCCGGCGCCTGGCTTCCCGGTGATGTGAAAAACGCCATCTCCATGGCAAAGCCAGTCAATGATTCCTTGATGCGCCTGAGTGTCTTCCGCGGTTTCCGTTTCCGGAGCTGGCCCTGGCTCTAGAATCCAGCCGAAGGTGTGCTCGTGTGCTTCGTCAACTTCATCAAATCTGTCGACCATACCGTCGACATTCAGTTTGTCCATAATCTTTGAATAAGCCTTTCGGCCAAGTGCTGTTTTCGATTCGTGGACGATTAGACGGACTCGCTCTAGCAAACTGGGAATGTGACCCCACGAGCTCATGCTGCTTTCGAGATTGGTGGTGCTTCTTCTTAGTTGTTTCAACTTTTCCATTTGCTCGTTTCCTCGGTCACTGATCCTATCAAGGTGCGCCCCAAATTCATATCTATAGATATGACGTGGTTAACTTGATTCAATGGCTCTTAAGACAGGGAGGGACATTTTACCTCGTTACTTGAATCAATTGCAGCTGTATTCTCATCAGGCAGTCTTTGAGGTCTCGTTGTAACCCCTCCTTCTCATTCCTCTTGTACAAATTCTTGACCGACTTCTAGACGACGTGTCGTTTCTTGGTTGACTTCAGTCCACCCAGCAAAGCAAGCAGTCTGATCGCAAGGTCTTTGTATTCGTCCGTAAGATTCAACAATTCAACTTCGTGAGTGTCGCTGGGAGATCCCTTTGTGGTTTGGCGCACGTTGTCAACCTGCTTTTGGAGCAGGTTGATCCGGTTCTCCAACTCAGCATTCTCCTTTGTTGCAGCAGCGCCAGACTTGCTAATCTCTTGAGCAATCGCGATGTTCTCGGCAGCGAAGTCGATGAATGTGATGACTGCGCTGACAAGCCCAATGATCTCCACAGGTGTCATCATGTTGTCTGCGTACTTTGGGCAATTAAGGCGAAAGGCGACCCCGAGCTATCGTTATCTAAAGAATGACGTGTGAATCCAAGGTCGAGCAGACCAGGCGCCACCGTGGGAGCGGAAGCCGGACTCAATGTTGGTACAGTCTTCGTCAAGGCTCTGGGTGTCATAAACGTATCATTCCGTAAGTTGTGATGTCGGCAAAGGCTGCAGACCTGGGCAAGCCCCGAGCGATGGCGAGCTCCTCAGGCGTCTTGCGTAGCAACGGTCGAGAACGGCGATGAAGATGGCGGGGTTTTCATCATGGTCGGGAGCCTTGCGTGGTCCGCATGACCCCATGCCCGCAGCATCTGGGGATGCTGGGCCAATGATAAGCCCAGCATTGAGGCGGCGCAGCAGACGCAGATAATCAACAAATTAGAAAAGTCAGCCAATCATCACCCCGCAAGTTCCAGGCGAAGCGTGCTTTTCCACGAATAACCCTTCCGAGCGACCTCTTCGATTTGACTGCCTGATATCTAAATGATGGAGATGACTGATGTTTCTATTTCATCGAACCAAGTTTCTAGGCTCGCCCCTTTTGGCGTTTGTTCGTCGAGCTTAACTATGCCCGTTTGTGTAAAGCTAGGGTCTCCCGGTTGCGGAATTGGGTCAAAATGCTTTTGCGGCTCGCGAATCCGCTGTGGAAACAAGCCGGCCATTCCCACTCGTTGAAATTGACCGGCATTCCCAAATGGACGAAGCAAAAGAATGACGTTGGGAGTATAATGCAACGATGAGTCCTGGGGGTATGTACAAGTAGCAAGGAGGCAATGTACAGGACCGTCTGCAATTGCAACGTCTAAATTCGCCGAGCCAATTGCAGATTCCCCATCGAATAACACCTGCATGGAAGCCCGAACTCCTTCGATCTCCTGACCTTCCTGCACTGTCTTAAGCATTGCAGCTTTGACGTAGCCCCGTAAGGTCAACGAGCCAGCTTTTACTCGCCCAAAGAGATCGGCCGAGTCTAGATCAACATTGTGGTCGACGTATTCAATCTCATCGACTTCTCCTGGTCGGCGGCCAAAGAAGTGGGTTGAAAGGAATGTTACTGGAGAGCCTTCGACAGCTGCCCAAGACCATGATGGGGCGCGGTATGTGTCTGGGCGCCGTGCTGATTCTGGTAGGTTGACATACCACAACAGCCCAGAAGCAATGTCATCCAGCCAAATACCCGCTAGATAGGGGCTGGGTTTCTTACTGGAAAAGGCTCTCGCAATACCGGACAGAGCTGGCAACCTGTCGGCGTCTTTGGTGATATTTCTTTCCGTATAGTTTTGTAGCATCCGGTACCAGTTCTCGTATGAAACATTTGAGTTGTTGATGGCAAGGTTGGGATCGCCCCTGACTGACTTAGAAACCTCTTCGTTCCCAGGTTTGATGTCCGGAACTATGTCTCTTGCCATCTTGCCGAGCCAACCCCTAGCTATGGAGTTTTCGGCTGATTCTCCCCGGCCATAACCGTAAGGAGAACTTCCACTTTCGCTGATGATGGACTGCCTGCACCCCCAATGTACTTGATCCGCCGCATAATGAAGTGTTCGCGGGGATAGAACTCGCTCTTGAAGCGTCCATGCTCGACTGTTCAATGGTTCCCTGTCGATGCGCTGGAACTTGTTGAGTGACGGCCCAATTGACACGCCGCGATTCAAGGAGTCACTGCTCTGAAAGTGAAGTGGTATGAGCGGCTCATCGCGGGCTTTCCGGATCAAACCATGAGTACCGTCAGACGCAGACGTCGCAGCAATGGTAACGTAAGCCTGGGAGTAAAACCTGGGCCATCCTGGCCGCCTCCCGGTCCCAGTCGTCTGCGTCGTCCTGTACAATACACAGAGAATCGATCCACAGATAGCGCACTCTGAGTCTTCTGGTAACGTCCATAGCGTCATTGAAAGTTTTGTTTAGTGTGGACGGATCGATCCTGGTCCTGAAGGCAAGCAGATTGGCCTTTACAGTTCTGACGACGGGAGCGGCGCCCCAGCAATGGCTCAATGCAACGTACGGCGCATGGCTACAACTGGAGCCGTCTACCAGCCGAACGTCCGCATGTGGTGTAGTAGGCTGAAGGTCAAGACGTCGGGTTGGGAAGAATGTCGCTGATGCAAAAAGTGTCTGGTATCGGGAGCAAACATCATGACTTTTAAGGCATGCCTGAATCCAATCCAGAGGTCGTCGGCACTTCTTCACAGGCTCTGGGCTTTCACCAGCCACCAATCCAATTTTCTTTGCGCGAGAATCTTGGATCATGTTAGGCAGGTAAGCCAGTAGCCTGAGCGGTCATATACCATCGTCTGCATACAGCCCAAACTCGCATGTCCTGTACCCACAAGTCACCTGAATACCGTAAAGCTGCTTTTGGTTCACACTCCATCTGCTTCGGCTCAGAGCCCTGATATTGACCGGCTCAACGGTCGGGGGGGGGGATCTTCAGCGGCCCAATCTGTATGCCCCATACTAATATAAGCGCAGCCGCTGGGAAGCCGTTCATCTTGGTTAACTTTGAGGCCTTTGAAGAATAAATGACAAAGCTGACACGTTTTGGCCGATTCTTGCAACGAAAAAAAGGACGGATAATGAGGCTGCGATGGGGCGGCCTCGAACTCATCAGGCCTCAATGTAACCCCAGTGGCCGAGGGGAGGTGTTCCGCCTGGATACTTTTGCAAAACTGGCACAGGAACATGCTTTATCCTGCAAGAATAGGGCGTATAATGAGATCATCTTGTTTCGCGACATTTGCAGGTCTCACCTACTGTGTCAGCGACGGAGAGGTAAGAAAGTGCTCATGTCTCTCGCCAAGTTGCATCAAAACTTGAACTTGCGAGGAGTTGAGAACTCCACGTGACTCGATACAAACCAATGACAGGAGCGACATCGTTCGCATGCGGCTGCCACATGTGAACTCCGCCCAGTGAAGAGGGAACTAATGGGGGATCAATGAACGTATTCCTCCCATCCCTCCCCCCAATGTATGTCCGCTCGAGCATCCTACTACTTTGCTCCAGCAGGTCGCTCGCGGTATTTCTTCCCCACCATCTTGAACAATCATATTCTAAGGTGGTTATCCTTGACCTCTGTTCTCGATCCGATCATACATATCCTGAGTCGTTATAAGCATACGCTTCTTGCTGGTATTATTATCGGTAAGCTGCATCCAGGTATCATATTGTTTCCGAAGGAATGTGGCCCGAGAGACTTAGCTGGTGCACTTCGTCACAACAAAGCCTGCTCTCTCAACCTCTCATCGTCCACAGCGACTGACTATCTGAACGTGAGGCTAGCATAGGGAACCCTGGACATATTTGGATGTACAGCCGCAGCTTGCTAGTGGGGTAGTACAACGCTGTGGGCTTGCAGGGAGCGAGCGATCGCGTACGGCTATGGTATCGAATGCAGTTTCCTACAGTACGCCGTGTACCAACGTACAACTAATGATTGCCTAGATTCTCCCTCAGCTTGGCAACGGCGCAGGCCAAGAAAAACTCGACCCCAACACGATATTGACTACAGAGCCGTCTCATTGTCGTCTATCGTTGCGGTGCGGCCGGATCAGCTACTTCCCTGAGCGGGGTGAGGCATTCTTTCAGCGTAATATTGATGAACGAAACTTTTGTCGATTTGTGGGTTGATGCTGCCAGTACTATGTGGTACAGATCGCGCAAGTCCCCTTCCGCTTGCGGTAAATCCACACATGCGTCATCTATTTACTGATCCATTCATATGTAGCACTTTCTCCTCAGGTGTCTATTAGTATCATGTGTGACAAAGATGTTTGGACTAGAATGCAATTGAACAAAGTGCAGCCAGGAGGGTTTTTGTCTAACTTCTTAATGCGTGTGCAGCTTGCTCGTCGAGGTACCTAGCAGCCCGACGGCTTGGAATCAGGTGCAACGATTATTGGGCCCAATAGACACTGTTACAATGAGACTCACTAGAGGACGTGCTTAGTGATAGACGAATGAACATAAAAAGGGCGAAGTTGAACTGCACTTCTTTTCTGTCAAGTTGAGTCAAGATTTCCACACACCAAAGACACCGACTAGTAAGAAAAATATAACCCTCATCAGTTATTCATTATCTTCATTTCCATTACCCAGAAATCAAAAGAAGTATGACGAACCATGACGAGATGAAGTCTACCTCAGCGAAGGCGGTGACGCCACTCAACCCCATTGACAAGAATAAATGCGGCAAATGTCACAAGAACTACGCAGGAAGCGCCGACGTCTGCTCTTGCAACGACCCAGCCTAATTGAACCTTTGGAAAAAAGGTAAGTTGGAGAAGGCCCTCGACTCTAACCAGGTCTTCCAGCACTTGCCTGAGTCTAGGCTGTTATCGTTCGGTGTGATGTCAGGGGTTGCGTTTTAGTGACCTATTAGACTAGGTACCGGGCTGGGTTCATTGAATGTGGTACATGGTAGTCCGTAACCGGCCGTGAGAGGTTTTGCATCAGGGATGGCTAAACCTGAGGGGCATTTCGCAAATGCATGGTTTCCTTCACTTCTAACTGTCTTTCCCCATACTTTCGTACAGCAGGTCACCGCCTACGGGCACACCTTTATTCACAGATGGTTTACTATTCGTCAATACTACATCCATGATAGCAATGTGAATGTTGATCATTGTGAAATGCGGGATTGTGCATAAATAATTAGCGACCAGAATAGGTGCATGCTATGTATACATAGCTTTTGACCAAGGCCGGTATTGTTGAAACATGCGTAATTGGCCGTACATGTTTGCTTGTCTGTAGGGGCCAATGGCGCTCGGGATAGCATTCATCTGGCGCCCCACGAACGGATCAGAGGTCAAACAGCCTTCGGGAAGCTCATATCCCGGCTGCGCCGCCCAGTTTCCCTACATGTACTGTCCGTTTGACAAACATGACCCTTGTCGCACATGCATCCAGGCGGTGAGGGGCAGGGCTGTCCAACTATTGATAACCGCCCCATGGCCACCCTCGAATTCCCATGAACCTCGCCCTTGACTTTGATTGCCCTTCTTCCACATTCAGACAGCACCGATTCATACGTCATGGACCCTCAAGACCTCGCCCCTGATGAAGTTCTTCTCGATCATATTTTCCCAGATCAACCTCACGTCTCCACCTCCATTGTACTCCAGAATTGGGACAAATGTGTGTTCAAAGCTAGCTTCCCAGATGCCTCCGAGCCTCGCTGCCCCTGCATCGTCCGTCTTGAGACTACACGTGGGGATGAGGAGGCTACACAGATCGCCACTGTCTCAGCAATGCAGCATGTTGCCTCGCTTGCCATCGACAACCTCGTCCCAAACACTTTCCAAACTGGCGTTGCCAACAATGCACAAGGCAAACGACTGCAGTTCAGTGTCATTGAGTTCATTGAGGGGGACACCCTGGAAGAAGCTTGGGAGCAGATGAGCAGCGAGAGTCAGCAATCCGTTGTGACTGCATTGGTCGGTGCACTGGGAAAACTGCACTCTATTCGGATTTCTGACCCCCGAGTACAAACCCTGCTACGTCAAGTTCTGGACGACTCGAAGCAAGACTCCTTCCAGGAAGCAGTCATGGGCGGGCCGAGCACAGGATTCCTCAAGACTGGACCAGCCCTCCTCGGTGCCATAACCAAGAGATTGGAACTGAAAAAACCTTTCTACACCATATCGCCCACCACTCCGGCTGGTGACGTCGTCGTTCAGTCGCAATACGAAGACCTTGGCTCTGTGAAACTCGAAAAGACCACCATGGAGCAGTGGGGGGATGAGTCCGTGTTTTGCCACAACGACCTCACCCCTCGCAACATCATCGTTAAACCTTGCAACTCTCGTGACGGACGTCCCGACTACCAGATTTCTGCTATTATTGATTGGGAGCTCGCCGGATTCTACCCTGCTTCTTACGAGCTGAGCCTCCAAGACACCTACCTTAGTGGGGGCAACCGCCTGATTTCCTTCTACTCGCTCCTGAAGAGGCAGATGAAGGATCTGGTGCCTGCTTCCTCGCCACAGGTCTCCTTGCTACAAGCCATGGAGATTCTTTTCGAATCTAGACAGAGAAGACTGGCGGAAGGCTCCAACATCCCGGCGATTATCCGCCAAAGATTCATCCAAAGATTGCAATTGCGCCGGGATGAGGATCCTTACATTGGATGGGTACCAAGGAATCAGGGGGGAGCACACCCCGTGCTCTGTCGTGCTGATGCCCAGCGTCTAGAAGACGATGTGATTGCCGAGGTAATCGAAAAGAGGTAGGCGAAAGTAGATCGCTAGCAGAACGGACTTCAAAGCGTTCATAGGTCGATCAATACATTTCAGATACACGCAATTCCATCAAAGAAACTCGTTCGTGTCTCCCTTTCTCTCTCTATCATCGTCATCGTTGGAATGCAGCCTGCGAAGCTATGCGCTGCAGGCTGATTATGACCGGGTTTCCAGGGGAATGTCAGAGAATCTCTCTTCTTAAATCGAATCGATGTGATCATGCCCATTGAGTAGTAGGGTCTATGTTGCAAAGGTTCATTCGATACGTCAGGACTTGATATAGGTAAGCAAGCTTGTTTTACATCTACTAATTACTGAAAACGAGTTGGAGAGGATATCACATCAAGGACAGCAACAGTGCAATCGAACTTATGCCTTCTGGCCAGCGGTTATCGCTTGAAGTGGTCAGGGTGAGATAGAAACTCATAATAGGACCGCGACCGTCAGCACGCCATACCCCTCTCATGGCCGGATAAGCGGGAGCCAATCACACCATCTATTGTTGGACAGCCTGTTGTAAAATACTGCAGAATGGTCCAGACCATTTTGAATTGTTGTGCTTTGAGAGCTTCATGGGCATTGGTCCGAAAACCCGGCAGGTGCAGGCGCGGTCCCATGACTTCCTGTGAGCCCCGGCAGCCTGATGCCCAACATCTCCCTCATTTTTAACAACATTTCGCGCGGGCCTGTGGCGAATGCCTCATTCCTATCATTTGTGAAGAGTTGTTGCCTCTTGATCACTTTGGCCACATACCTTCATGCCTCGACCCGAAAAGCATCAGACGCTGGAGAGACTATAGTGGTTCCACAAATCGGCGGTAAACCCGGAGTCGAGCGCGCTCAGCAAGGCTCCAGTGGCCTTTATAGGTCTTCAGCAGGAGACACCATACTGTTGGAAACGTCCCGTGGCTCTATCAATCCGGCCCCTTCAATCCATCACAATCCGCTTCCTGCGTCCTCTTACGATAGGTAGGATTCGCCTTATTAAAACATCGCCTGGCCTTCAATCTATAGAGATAAACTCGCAAGCCATAACAGTCCAACGATCATGAGTAGGCTAGAAATCATCGGTCTAATCAGCAGCATAATCAGCTTCGTCGACTTTGCTGCCGAAGGTGTCGCTTTAGCTCAAGCCATTGCAGAAGATGGGTCGGCGTCGCTGCATGGCAATACGGAATTGGAAGATCGCATCAAACTATGTAACAATCAAATGAACAGTATACGCCGGGATTATTCAGACACCGAGAAGAATAGCCATGAGGTTGAGCTTGTCAAAGTCACCGATGAGTATAGAAATCTGACACTTGAGTTAACGAGTCTCCTGGGAGGCCTCAAGGCAACCAGAAAGCGGGACATAGCATTTAAGTTGTTCCAAAGCTCCCGCCAGAAACATAAGAAGGCAGAGCTACAAAACGACTTGGAGGCTTGTCGTCAGCGAGTACAGATGCAACTGACACTTGCGACAAGGTAATGGTCAAGTCCTCACTAGAGCACCATAATCCTGTGATCCAGTTAACTTTGGAATAAAGCGCAGACCTACAACAACGCTTAGTGGAGATCCGTGATCAGGGAAAGGCTAAATCGACCGAATTCAAGCTCACGAGAGACGGCATAAGTGAGCTTGAGACTCGAATGAAGGCATGGAGGCATGTTCCTGAGTTCATGGAACAAGCCGCGGATATCCTAGCTCTCTCCAAAGAAGCAACCGAGCGCACCGCGCAGGCACTTATATTGGGGAAGCTCCATGTTGCCGATATGACTCGCAGGTTCGACGACGTCAAGCCTGCCCATGAGAAGACATTCTCTTGGATTCTGGAATCAGAAGCCAGACCTGAAGAGACACCTGTGGAGCTCAATGACCATCAAGACCTGACTACTTGTTTCTCCAAGGGAAGAGGCATCTTCCACATAACTGGCAAGCCAGGTGCAGGGAAGTCAACCCTGATGAAGTTACTTTGTCAAAGTGGCAATACGGAAGACCAACTGAAGATATGGGCTGGAAGCAGATCACTAATCATGGCCAATTTCTTTTATCAACACGGCACACCCTTTCAAAAGTCTCTAGAGGGATTAAGGCAGGCATTGCTATGTTCAATACTTGAACAAGTCCCATGGCTCGTCGGGGAGGGTTTCCCACAATTATGGTCTTGCGCCATTCAGCAGATGCCGATTGAAATACGGCCATCGGATGTTGAAGCTGCCTTTGCGAGCTTATTCAATTCACCAGACTCCTTTACTTCGAACGCAGTTGTGTTCTTCATAGACGGCTCAGACGAATTCGCTGGAGAACATCAGTTCATGGTAGACTTGCTGCTCAGCTGGGTCGGTCGCTACCCAAACAACATCAAAATTTGTGTTTCGAGCCGTGAGTGGATTGTTTTCACGAGGGCTTTGGACCATAGCCCGAAAATCAAGCTGCACGAAATCACGTTTCGCGACATCAATAGCTTCGTTCGCACCAAGCTAGCAGATCTCATTCCGTCGACGGGAAATGCGATTGCAACAGAACGAGCTCGACGTTTGATTGACCAGATTATCGACAAGGCCGAGGGTGTCTTTCTTTGGGTGCGTATCGTTGTTGAAGGACTCATCTCAAGTCATGCAGCTGGAGATGCCATTGTAGACCTTGAAGAAAGGGTCAATGACTTGCCCAAAGAACTGGAGAGTCTGTACGAAAACATATTTCAGTCCATGGCAAATGAAAGCTTCGCGACTCGGAAAGATAGGAGAAGGGCTATGCGGATGCTCTTAGCCACTATACCATGTCACAGTCCCCGTGTGCAAACCCCTACGATTCTCATTCGCCATTCGTTCCTCGAAGATTACGAGAGAAACCGCAATTTTGCCTTCGATCTTCCCATTTCCACTCGACAGATGGATGCGGCAACCCGAGATCAGACACTAGAACATACCCACAAGGCCGTGTATCGCAGGTGCATGGGTCTCCTTGAGGTGCACACTGCTGAATTGGACGACAGTTCAGAAGACCATGGCCCGAGACGCAGAAAGAAGGAGTCAGGCAGCACGAAAGATGTACCATCGGATCCAGACATTATTGTCGATTTGGACGACGAAGAATATCTCCATATGCATGTCTCGTACGAGGACGCATCCAGGATCAATCAATCTTACCCGTCTCGTCAACAAGTCTGCTGTATTCACAGGACAGTGCTTGAATCTTTGCAACAAGACGAGGTGGATGAAAAGATTCGTGCTGATGCGGCAGACAACACAGAATTCAACGAAGGTGATTTCCATTGCCAGTCATACCTTGCCGCAGTAAAACACTTTCGCCCAAGTGTTTTCTACGTACGAGACAAACTTATCACTCAGCTTCGCGGTCTTCTTGCCCATTATCACTACTTGGAGAAGCGATTATCCGACGACCGTTGGATGCACCTATTCGAAGAACTTGGCAATGTCCTAGAACACCACAACCTGCACGAGATGGGAATAGATTTACACTTCGATCTTCACTCAAACCATACCTTTCATACCTCGAGCTCATTCCTTCCACCCGAAGACGCTTTGCTCCTTCTTTCTATGAGAGCTGGGATATACAATGATTACGATTCTCCCGAAATTTGGAACAAGATTAAATGTAGTCAAGATACCAGTATATTTGAAGGCATCGTTCTCGACAACTTTCTCACCGGCATCTTGGACCACGAACAGGCCAGGAAAGACGGAGCACGACAGTTCCAAGGCACTCCTGCGAAAGTAGTGAACGAAAGAATTCTAGCAGGAGTGGATGCCTATCTCAAATCTGGAGCGTCATCTAGCGCAAAGTCGCATATCGGAAGCTGCGTACTACATGGTGTACCTATTACATGCTGGCACACTTGGCTTATGAGCCTGCTCGTGTCATGTTTCCAGAAAGAAGGAATCGAGAACCAAGCGGCCTTTATAAAACTTTTCCTGACTTACGGCGCAGACACCGATATTTGGGTTAAGTTTACCGACGACGATTTCATCATCTGGTGGCCAGGGACGGCGAGAGGGCATTTCCTTGTGTCTAATATCTCCAGATTCGAGAATTCGAAGGCCATCGTGAGAAAGGTTATGACTCCACAATGTCATGATGGAATCGTTTTACACCTCCGCGACCTCCTGCCGGTAATCTTTCCGGAGGAACGCGCCCGCTTAGAAAATCTCGTGGCCCAGATGGAACAACGGGCTCCATGCCCACCGGCAGAGGTTTGGCAGGGATCTGGTAATTGGAGAAACGAGGACTATTGTTGCAAGCCCGGCGGAGGCCATTCAGAAGATGGATCTGAGAAATGCTCTGAAGGGAACCCTGAGGTTTAGCTTGGAAGGTAACTCCCGACCGATCATGGAATCTTAGAAATACGTGCTACTATACATCGGCGGGTGGCTGGCTTTGGGTACGGCATTGTCAGTGTTACTAGAATTTAGCTTGAGATTTCGCATTACCATTTAATCATTATCTAACAAAGTCTTGGGGCAATCTTAATCGACTGCTGTCTCCGTGGAAGGTCTCTGTAGTCTGGAGGCACCTTATGAGATGGCTCACTGAGTTGCTCCTCCACCACGCGCCACTCCCCAACTTCGGGATGCCATTTGACAATTTTTGCCTGGACGTCCCCGTTGGCATCGAAATGAACTTCCCTCCGTGAAAGTCGAGACCACTCCTCAAATTCATCATCCTCAAAGGCGATGTTGTCAGACTCAATGGCCTTATTTCTCATAGCAATTGTGTGAAACGTCCTGCTATCCCACAAGCCATCACGCCTGGGATGCTTCCCTAACAGCTCCGTTGCTTCTTCTCTAACTTCGGCGTCGCGGCATCTACATGCGACAACCAGCAGTGGCATGGTAGGTCCGTTGTCCATGCTGAACACCTCAGAACAGCCACCGCAGTTGGACTGTGTTTGAATAACAATCCGTGACAAGTCCACAATCTCGCGGAATGCTGGTGTAAGACTTTTAACTGTCTTGACGTCTCTGTAACTGATGCTCACGACATCGCTCCACAGCAGAAGATACTGTATACGCAGATTGCATGCGTCGACGTATGAGCTGAAGTCGCGATCTTGTCTAATCCTGGCGTGGTCATAGATCCCCTGAAAGCTGCCATGCCAGCGTTGAAGATGGGCAAGAAACTGAGGAAGGACTGTCCTTAGATCCTCAGCATCCTTGAGTTCATATGTGTTTCGTATGTACCCGCCAGCAATGACCTCTTGCGGCATGTCATCCGCATACATGTCGGTATAGATCGGACAGCGGTGGCAGATGTAGTGCTGAACCACTCTCCACCATCTTCGTGCGATGTGTAGGTCAGCGAACGTCGAAGGCATCTCTTCAACTGCAAAGGGCCGTGTGCTACCACGACAGCACCAGCTTATGTCGCTTGAGTTCTTCGAGTGAAGCACGTTGTGCGACCAAGATTGCATCGTCATGCCTTGGAAGATCCACGCAGCATCATCACAAACGGAGCGGATGGAGTCTGTTTCCCGAGCATCCTCGACCATGGACCGCTGAATGAAGTAGTGCTCCATCATCTTATATGCGTGCATAACATGCTGCAACGCCGCGTTGCGGTCGCCGTGGAGGCACTCGAAGGTGACAAACAGGACGCAGCAGACGATAGCCCAGAGCATATTATCAGTCGACGGTGCGGACGTGCGGACAAGTTTGATGGCACGACCGTAATGCTTTAACGCGAACTCATAGTGCGGCCCATTGCTATGTAGCTCCCTTCGAGTTCGACGCTTGAGGTTCGGCACCAGGGCGCGGGCCATCGCGGCCATGGCGAGGGCTGCGTGTTTGATGGCGGGCTCATGTCGGGCAAGCTGCGGGAGGATGCGGGACATGACATCGTTGGGGAAGAGGTAGATGTTGCCGACGAGGATGCGCCAAAAGTCGAAGTAGCCTCTCTCTTTCGGGTCTGTGAAGAAGACGGAGTCGTACCCTGGTTCGACGAGAATGTTCTGGATTCTCCATGTTCCCTTTGCCACGATCCTGCGCGGCGCCGCTTGGATTTGGCGGTGCCCTGCTTTGGTGTTGCGCTCGGAAGGGTACCCTTCGCATACCCCTGGCCCGCGGGGTGACTTGGTGCACTTCAGGCAAAATGGCCTGGTCTCATCGCATTTGATGTGCCGCCGTCTTGCATCAATCGTCAGCCCATCGGGGGATATGACTAGGACTTGGAGTCAATGCTTACTTGCATGTGATGCAACCTGTTCTCACTTTCTTTGAAGAAGCTCTCTTAGTCTGTGAGCGTTGATGTAGAGAGAAAGTGACCATTTGAGGCGACATCCCCGGCAATCTGCAGCATCGTCAGATGGATTTCCAGCGTCAGGGGGCGGCCGCCACGATCGGAGGCGCGCCGAGTCTGACGTACCTATTCTTCTTCCCCCGAGACCCGGTCGTCAGCGGGGCCATGACTCCGGCGGCCGGATCCGGGCTGGACGACTTGGATTTCGAGCTTGAGCCTGACGACTGTGGCTCCATCATGGACATGTTCAAGATATGGATGACAAGAAAAGAACAAGGACAAATGGATCTTGGGGGCCATGCGCAGTCCTTAAACAGTGACTCCCGGAGCAAAATGCTGAAGCCTGGCAGCTGCCAGTTGCTAAACCGAGAATAGCGTAGGATTGAACCCGTTAGCGTGGTAGGGTAGGATCCTTCGCCCCAACGGCTCCAGCCTTTCCGCCCCTGAATAGCACGACCAGGGTCGATGTCAACCCGACCTGTGAGGTCTTTTTGCAGGCACTCAGTCCGAGGTCCCCGCAGTCACGAGATGAAGTGCTAGAGAGTTGTATCAAAGGTAGCAAACGCGTGATGGGCTTCATGGATTTCCCCGTGAGTTGGCCCTCCATCATCGATCTTAGTGTCTTCCACTCAGTGTGAACAAAGAGCAACCCAGAAACGGGCACGCTGGTACGGCCGGCAAATTGGCGCCAGTGCTGTGCTGCCCACAGCCACGAAGGATTGTTCTTCGTCAGAAGTCAGTCGTTGTGATTGAGCGCCCGTTGGGAGCTTACTGATCCTTCACCAAGGAATTACCAATTGAGACCACTCAAGCTTCTAAACATCTTAATTCGATATAGTTCAACGTAAGCCGCCGTTGAAAGACCAAGACTTCGGATGATACTCCGTCTGCATGTCTATGTAAAACTCACTAGTTAGGTGCGGTGCTTTTGTTGGGTGTTGTACGACCTACTTTGCTGTTGATCGACCACATGGTCTACGACAGAGCTGCGTGATGCCTGCATTGGAAATGCAGCAATCTCTGCCAATCATTGGTCTCACGGGATTCGAAATGACTTATTCTACATACAAAGCCTCGTCAGTGCTTGTGAGAGCCGAGCATCGCATTCGTCGTATGAGGTGCAGATCTCCGGCTGCTCGAGATTGCCAGCAGGTGTTAGCGCAAAGCAGTCGCTGTCGGGCCACTACCCACGACCAATTCCAGCGCCATAAGCTGACAGGGGTCACCGGAGAACCCAACCATCTCGAGAACACAGACGTTATGGAACATCAATTGGGGAATTTGTAGTTAAAAGGGGTGGGAGAAATACTCCAAAGCCTAATCTTCAGCAACGCCTTGCAAAAATTTAGAAGACCAATCGCCTTGTTGCTGTGATGCTGTAAATGCATGTAAGATGACGAGCTCTTACATCCACTGTTAAAGGTCCTCATGATGTTGCATGTCAAACGAAACGAATAGCCAGATTGAGGTTGGTATCGGATTTGAAGAGTAATCTTGTGTTAGGTTTGTTTGTTTTTGTAAGAACACATGGACCCCTGGACTTGTTCTCTAAGCAGTTCCAGACCTTGCCAGACGTTCAAGAATAGTAGGGGTTCATTCAATCTCTGATCTGCCACCTACTCGCTCCGTTGGCGATTACCTGACAAAGAAAAAATCGTCTTGCGAACTCAGACTAAAGACTGGAAGTGTTTGTAGAAAAAGGAAAAGAATAAAGAAGGACCTTGTCAAGTTGTTGCATCCCAACTAAACACTCTCGTGGTCGTGGATGTGGCCGTGACTGTGGGTGTGACCGTGGGAGTGGTTGTGGCCGTGGGTATGGCTATGGCTGTGACCATGACTGTGGCCATTGCCAGCCTCACTGCTGCTGGTCATGCCGTTACCACTCTTGGAGAAGTGTCTGACAACGGTCCGGCCGCTGCTGGAACGGCGTCTCTCTTGCTCGTGCAACTGCGTTCTCATCCTCTCCTCGAGCCTCTCCATCTCGCGGCACTTCTCCTCGTATCTGGCGATAGCCTCATCACGCTCGCGGTCGGCGTTGTTGCGAGCGCTGATCGCCTTCTCCTTCTGCTCTCTCGACTCACGAAGCATGGTACGCATGCTGCTGATCTCGAACTCGTAGCCGGAGCCGCCATCCTCGTACTCAGTGACGCTCTCGCAGACGTCCTCGTATCTGCCCTCCCAGTCGCGGCACTTCTGCTTAAGCGAGCCGCACTCGGTCGTGAGACTCTCAACCTCGACCTGGAGAGTAGCGGCGAGGGACTTGTGGCTCTTGATCTCCATCTCGTAGTCCTTGATCTTGGTCTTGGCGGTATTGAAATCAAGCTGCAGACGCTCGATGCGCTCGGTCTTGGAGTGGATCTCTTCTTGAGTCTTGGAGAGCGTAGACTCAGTGTGGCTGAGAGTCTCCTGGATAATGACCAGCTGGCGGTGGATATCATCGGCGCGGCCGGAGTGGCGACCGCTCTCCTCCTCGACACGCTTCTTCTCAAGTTGAAGAACGCGGATCTCCTCGATCTTCTTGGTAATGGTCTCACGCAGCTCGGTCTGAGTGATCTCGACGCGAGAGACGTCCTCGCGCAGAGACACGATCTCACGCTCAGAGTGCTCCCACTTGAGCTTCCACTTGCTGCTGCGATCCTCGGCCTCCTCCCAGCAGCTGTGTTCCTTGATGATGTCGCGCTTGAGCTTCTCAATGTGCTGTTCGAGCTCGGTCTTCTCGTGTCGAACCTTGGTGACGCACTGCTCGGCCCTGGTGATTACCTCTTGGAACTCCTTGATCTCGAGCTGCTTCTTCTCGAGGCGATCCTCGAGTTCCTTGTTCTTGCGTCTGATCTCTTCGTGCCTGTGCTCATGCTTGCGCAGCCTCTCTCCCAATTCGCTCTCGCGGTGGAGCCAGTCGTGTTTCTCCTTCTTCAGAACCGAGTTGAGCTGCTTGGAGTGAGCGAGCTCCTTATGGTGGGTGTCGTGCTTGGTCGTCAGCTCCTCATAACGAGAGAGCAGCTCGGTGTACTTCAGGTCGAGAGCATCACGGTCGCCGCGAAGCTTGCCACACCTGTCTTCGAGCTCAGCACGAGAACTCTCGGTCGAGATCAGAGTGTGTCTCGTGGTCTCGACAGTCTTCTTCGTCTCCTCATGCTCGCGCCTGACGTGGCTGAGAGTGTCCTTCACTTGCGTGATCTCGTGAAGGAGATGGCGGCACTCGGTGTCGCGTTCAGCAAGCTTCGTCTTGAACTCGGCAGTGCTGTTAACAGCGGCCTTGAGGTCAATGTTGAACTTGAGAATCTGCTTCTGGCGCTCTTCATGCTCATGGTGGTTGTGAGAGTGCTCCCTCTCCTTGATCTCGATGATCTCGGCGAACTCCTCAATGCGCTGGTGCATCCTGTCCATCTCGGCATAGCACGACTCTCGCTCAGCGATGATCTTGCTCCAGACTTCCCTCAGGGAGGCGCTGCGGCGAGACATGTTGGCCATCAGCTCGGTGAGGGCAAAGAACTCGCCCTCGGCTTGAGCGGTCAGCTCCTTGGCCACTTCGGAGCTGTACTGCTTCTGGTAGCTGCCCCATGATGAAGTCCGGGTGCGGCTCAGGATGCGACGGGAGCTATGGCTGTGGCCATTGGCGAACGAGCGCGTGGAGCCGGTAGGGCTGGCATCGCGAGAGAGAACGCCGTTGGGACGAGGCAGACGTCTGGTGCGGGACATCTCGAAGATGTGAGACGTGACATCCGGCAAAGTGGACAGGTCCTCATCGAGGATGCTGTCCATTCCGACGAAGTCCTTGGGCATGGAAATCCCATTGGTGTGGGTGTCGAGGGTAGCCATTTCGTTGAAGTAAGGAAGCTCGTAAGCAAGGTTACGATTCAATGAAGTGCTGGATATCTCGGTCATGGGTGGGCAAGGATCGGATGAAGCGGGAAAGAGAAGACACACAAAACAGGAGAATAACGATCCAGATATATAGTCGTGGATGCTGTGTGAAGAACCTTCCATGGGAGGAATTCCAGCATGAGAGGAGACGCCATCCGAAGGATCAAAAGCACAATGGTGGCCATTGATGGCTACCCCGGGTATCCAGCTGTCCAGGAGCTGATCTCCCAAAACGGTGTTGTCGGCTGCCACAAACGCGCTCGTCTCCACCAAAACGAGATAGGAGAGAGACAAAATCCCAGCTCTCTCCCTGGGGTCTTAGACAGCATATTCTCTAGCTCCCGTTGATCTCAACGATCGGCGTATCCTGAAGATTCATCGTCTCCGTTAACGGTATCATCCTACCTGCGAGCATTGACCAAATAGAGTGATTCCAACAGTTGCCCAAGTGAATGTCTCATGATACAGAGGGTGAAAATCCCATCTCAGAAAACCATTGTCGGAAAGACCTCGTGAGGAACGGCATGAGCCATGCAGAGATTCAAGAACAAATAACCAATAGATAGGGTTGTACCTACTCGGTCGTGAAAGTTGTGTCTGTATCCAGGTGTATCCAGGTGGATGGTTGCGGGACACGCCAGCCACATAACCACAGATATGAGACATCCCACGGACGGTCTCCCTTGCCCAACGCTCTCATAGGCTCGTTTGCACCATGGCGAACCCAGAATGCCATAGTGATTTTTCGACGTGCTCATTCAGGACAAGATCTCAATCATCTGACGCAGACCGAGGCGGGGAGCTGTCTTACACGCGGCACTTGGCATTCGGACGGGTCCTACGGTTATATCAAGCAACGAAGAAACCTGAGATGTCACTACCTACTCAGAACATACTGATCTGGCGCACATCATTCCATGACTAGATGTAGGTTATCAGTCTTTCTTTTCTCCCGGTTAAGGTCGGAGTTGAGAAGTTCGGCTGACGTTGAAGAAAGCAGCCGTTGAAGCGTTCGGATCAATAGCGAAGTTCAGCGTCGGTATGCCTCTCGGATCCGAAGAATGATCTTCACGGACAACTAATTCCGGCATACCAGCCAAATGGAGTCGCCGCATTCAGCTCGGATACCCCGCATGAAACACATGCGCCGCCTTGCGCGGACGTTCAAGACACCCCATTTCCCAATCTGCGGCTCATTATGGCGATTATCAACAAAGCGGGACATATTCTTCCGACATCTACTCATTACGCGTGAGCCTGCGACATTCCAACTTCACACCGGCGCAGATATCCAGTGATCAGCGAGACTTTTTGCTCAATGTTGACGATTCAGGATAATTTCTCTCGTCCTTGCCAAGAGGCTCAACAAACCCGACTTTTCATGTCCTCACGATACTCGGGCCAGTCCCAAGCATCTATTCCGATGTGGCGCTGATGTCTTCGATTCAATGTCTGTTTGTGGGGATAGATGCTTCCTGTACCACGGATTAGGTCTTGATTCAACAGGAGTGAACCAAAACTGAAATTTGTTTTGAGACGCTCGACCAAAGCACATCTAATAGTTTCTTGTGAAAGTCACGCGAAGGACTGCTGATTTCTCATACATTATCCTCGACGTCCGAGTCCGGTGTTGTTCTGGTAACAGTCGAGCGCAAGTCTAGACTCTCCCGATTTTGATATTTTGGGTTGTCACCAATGTGTTTTGTTGTACATGCGAGGTCGAGTGAGTCGCTCTCTAGGTAAAGTTCACACAATCACTGAAAAACTAGGAAAGTGAGCCCCGAGACCCGGACAACTATCCTTGACAACAGTATCTCAATTGATCGATGAATCGCGTTGCTACATGAGCTAAATATGGCCAAGAACTCTTTCGAGAGAATTACCAATCCTATCTGCCAAGCAACGTCCCAAAGAACCTCCTAAATGCTCCTCTACTAATGAAACATGAATTGAGAACAAAAGGAACGTCTCATGTGCCTCAGTAATGATTAAAATTTACTAGCCAACATGTTATGTACCAAACCTTCATTCATCGCGACCCATATCTTCTGCACTGACGCTCTCCTTATACACCTAACACATACACCTGGTTCCCTCAATATCGCACAAGCAAATTAACGACAAAAGCTTTTGTGAACCACGAGAGGGCGGAAGCTGTCCCGCCAATTCCGCCAGACTAGGGCGGCCCTTCCGCCTATCTTAAGCTACTTTCCAGATAGCGTAACCCTCGCCTCTCATGAGGCAGGTCCCAAATTTTGATTGCATCCCAACACGTCAAATGCGGATTGCCTTCGGGATTTGTGCCCCCATTGCCAGATTCCAGGGGAACATTTTAAGTGTAATACGTTATGTTCAACGGCCGGACCGGCCCGTTTACGGGAAAAGTTGCCCCAAGGAAATCAAGCTCCACCAAGGTCTCGACGGCGCCTTGCGGTCGCCAAATCCAGGAAGAATGGCTTCTGTGGTGTTAATTTTACCAATCCTTCCGCAAAGTTACGAAAGCGAGTCTCAATAATTAAGAGTCGCGCGTATCCAGAAACATTTGCCAAAAGTCTAGGAATACTTGGTTCACAACCCCATGACCGGCGACAATTACCGATGTGGATGATTAGTTTTCCGCGGCAAACTCGGATAACACCCACTTTCGCCGTGCGGTCAAGAAACGGTCCCCAGCATGAAAGAAGATATACCGCAGCCAGCAGAGCAACCGCACAGCTCGGGATCAGACGGTACGCAGCAATCATTAAGGGTCGTAAGCACGGCTGACATAGTTCTCAGGCATAATGACCCACGCTCAAAGTACCGAATCTATCATGGACTATCCAGATGGCGGATTGAGAGCTTGGCTAGTCGTATTTGGTGCCTGGTGTGCCATGATACCTTCCATGGGTCTCTTGAACTCGCTCGCCGTCCTCCAGGCTTGGCTCGGAGAGCACGAGCTTCAAGGGATGCCACAGTCATCCACCGGATGGATTTTCAGCGGCTATGCCTTCTTCCTGTTCTTCTGTGGCGCTCAAATAGGTAAGGCAGCCCGGGGCAAGTGTATGCGTATCGTTTTGAAATTGACAGCCCCAGGCCCTGTGTTTGATGCCCATGACATGCGCCTATTGATCATCCCCGGAGCTGTCGGCATCGTACTTGCTCTCGTTTTCACGAGCCTTTCATCCGGTAAGCCCCATAAGTTTCCATGTCTCAGACTGCCTAGCATCATGAGTTCTCGATGATGACTTTAATTATTGTCCAGAGTTCTACCAATTCTTTCTCTCGTTCAGTGTGCTTGGCGGGATTTCGTCGTCGTTGCTGTACAATCCAGCTGTATCGGCGATCGGCCATTGGTTTCACAAGAAGCGAGGACTGGCCACTGGCCTGGCTTGCACTGCGGGAGGTGTGGGCGGCGTCTGGATGCCCCTCGTCATCCTCTACTTGGCTCCTCGCATTAGCTTCGGCTGGTCTATACGAGTGATAGCTCTCATATGCGCCATTCACGGGGCAGCGGCATGCTGCCTACTGACTAAACGGCTGAAACCTGAGAAGTCAAGAGGCTCTTCCATCGACCTCAAAGCCCTTAAGGACATTGACTACGCTGCTGTGGCCCTTGGACTAGTTCTCGTTGAGTTTGCCGTGTTCATCCCGATCACATACATCTGCTCCTACGGTATTCACTCTGGGTTCGGATACCTTGACGCGTACATGCTCAACCCCCTTCTCAACGTCGGCGCCGTTCCGGGTAGATTCTTACCCAATTACGTTGCTGATCGATTTGGTGTCATGAACACAACGTGTACTATCACATTTTGCTGTATGGCTTCGATATTTGGCCTCTGGCTTACAGCAAACGGGAGTCGGACCATGACAACAGCTTTCGCCATCATCTACGGATTTTGGTCAGGAGCATCTGTGAGCCTTGCTCCAGTCGCCATTGGCTTGGTCTGTCGGACAGAAGACTACGGGAAACGCAACGGTACCGCATACACTCTTTGCAGCCTTGGTACTCTCATCGGGATTCCAATCGCCGGAGCGATTTTAGGAGCCGAGGGCGGCGGCTATCGGGGGTTGATAATATTCGCTGCGCTAGCCTATGTAATATCCTTGGCCGCTTACATCTTTGGTCGTGTGCGGTTAGGAGGGTGGTCGCTGGTGAAGGCATGTTGATGGGGTTCGGCTCTGACGGGGTCTCTGGGGTTGTTAAGATGGCTTGCGTCGTTGTAGATGGCATGCAGGAATCGAGGTTGGTGGATAGATAAGCCACGGGAGAATCTAGCCACCATGTTCTCTGAAAAAAATACGAAGTCTCGGACCAGGTGCGACTCTGATTTTACTTCGAGCTTGGCCACTTTGAGCACAAAGGAATGTGTACAGACATCTCTCGGCCAGAGCATAGATGAGCCAAGACTCAAGGAGAGGTTCTGAAGTCGCCATGCAGGCAGCAGCATGCAGGTGAGTTGACTTGGCCAATCACCTTCAACTATTGCTACTATTACGTCTCTCAACGTCTCTCATGGCAAGCAGTGAAACTTACTGATTTACTAGAATATGCTGCCAAGTCCGCCTTCGAGGGCTTGGGTGCAGTCTAGGAAGCATCCTTCGTCATGTGCACCCACTCAAAGCTACCATGTTTGCCTCCGGTTTCTAGCCAAGCTAACACGTCAACGACAGCTTCCTCATTCATCGTTGACAAATTGCCCATTCCGTACGCGAAAGATCAAAGGCTTTACAAGTTTTTCTTGTCCACATGGCGCGGTATCGCCGGAAGGTTCGGCCTATGATGTAATAGTCTTTAGACAATCGAGCATTTCACCACACAGACCCGCTCCGACAGACCACTTCCGGCACACCACCCGAGCACCCTTCTCCACGGACATCCGTGTGATAAAACGGCGCCTATTCACTTGTCCGACGAACTGCTACGTTCTCAGACTCTTCAGGATTCGAATTCAAAAAGCTCTATAAACTGCCTATCCCTACCTGAGCTAGCTCACAAACTTGTCGTCATCAACGCATTCCAGAACATCTGCCAGCCTTCCAGAAACGCACGAGTCATGTTTCTCTCCAACAGAGCACCAGCGAAACCGCTGCCCCGCTTCCAAACCAACACGCCTCTGGACTCGACGTTTGATAAGGACATCCGCGACGTGCACCTTATCTACGACTACGACGCCGAGGATGAGAATGGAAATCCGGAAAAATGGCGCTATGAGATGTGGTTTTTCTCCGAGGACCGCGTAGTCTACGCCATCCACGGCGGACCGATGGCGGGCCGCATAAACTACCAGGCCGCCACGTATCAGTGTATTCGCCCCGGCGAGCTGTGGCAGGTGAACTGGCTCGAAGAGACTGGGACGGTCTGCTCTCTGGTCTACGACATTCCGAATGAGAAAATCTCAACCCTTATCTCGTTCTCACGGGGCCATTGGGAAAATCCCAAGGCGGCGCACGGTGACAAGCGCAACCCCGGCGATTTGGCGCGGTGGAGGGTGCTTGCGAGGTTTGGGCATCAGAGCGACAGGCTCATGCTGTCCGAGCAAGCGGATATCGTGGAAAAGTTCAAGGGCAAGGGGGATCTGGTGCCTATTTCTGAGGATGCTATTACATTTTGAAGGCGATTTGAGTATTGGCTTTGTGGTTAGCAGCACGGGCGTCAAGGTATTTCAGCTTGATTGACATCTATTTGAGAGAAAATGAGAAGCATGTGTTGTGACGCTCTTCAATAAGCTGTTGGTGAGAGAGACTGTAGCTCTATACGCGTGAACCCCTTCCGCCGCCATGCAGGTGCGTCAGCCGTTATCTGGGAGTACCTTTCGCCGTGCTCAGAAAAAGAAAACCAAACTGCAGAAAGGGTCAGGGTCACTTGTAATCAACTCCTTGGCAAAATGCAACAACGATCTTGACTTGCGGGCTTTTTCAAATCCAGTATATGCAATCCATTTGTGTTCTATGTACTAAATCTTGATGAACATTGATTGCACCATGTGTCCATCTCAGCTATCGAGAGCATTTATCGGCAAATCTTGGTTGGGCCAATGCCAGCCGGGTTCTCAAGTGTGCACTTAAGTCCCTTGCAACAATCATGAGGCAGAGGATCGTTGTCGTTGCAAAACTCTGTGGGAAGTGAGTAAGCTGGCTATGAAATGACTGGAGGATTTAGAGGACAGGTATTACCATCCGCTTTTCTGCAATTCGCCTGACGAGGGAACAGTTCTATGCCCGCAGTGTCACGCTAGTATATCAGTCAGTATTCGACGGCGTCCACGAATGAGCAGCGAACGAAATTGAAGGTCTTACTGGATGAGGGACAGCAGCCGAAACAACGGCAATGAGAGTGACAATAACTGCAGTAAACTTCATATTGTTGGTAATAGACAAAATGGACAGGTGACAGACTCGAAGAATTGTGTCTAATGACGCGGGAAGTGCCGGACTTCAAGATTTTGAATAAGAATGGACCAGCCTGCTTGATTGATGACAAGCTAGAACAACACCTCAGTTCAGGCGGCAATATCTTTGCCTTTATACTTAACCGAATGCTCGGGCTCTTGATCGACAGATCTTCTCCGAGAACACTTGGCTTGGCTATTTTGGTGTTTTCGAGATAGGAAACTTTCTAATTCGAATGATTTACAAAAGAATGCAGGAAGGCTACCAGCATTTGACAGACGAGAGCTATTACAAAAAGTCGCCGGAAAGATTTAAGGTTGCTGTCAAACACGACTGGCAGGCGAAGTGGGCACTAAATGTGCATACTATGTATCTCAGCAAGTCAAGAAAGACTCTGAGCATGACCTTCGGATGCTAATTCAGTCAGACTACTGGCTAACAGCAACTCTTAATTGATGACGGTATCCCCGAGCTGAACCGGACTGCCGGTACTGAGCAGCCGGAGTTGAGGTTCGTCTGAAACGGCCGTCTGAAACTCGCCTCCAAGAACTTGACCCCGTAGTCCTGACTCAAGTCATTGCATATATGGCCTTATGGCTGTGCAACTCAGGGAAATAAGTAATCACAAAAGAGGAACATTCCGCCTGACTAGAGTCACGAAAAGGCTCACGCAGTATGATAATTGATAACTAGCGGGTCTGGTGGCCTAGGTATCAACATATCCAGCCGGAGACTTGTTCGCCCTCTCAATTCCGATACCGAGCCCGACCCTTGGACATATTCTCGCCTTCTACTTGGTGTCATTCGTTACACAATGACCACAGGTAATGGAATTGTCCACAGGTTCGCTTGAATCTTAGTTGCCCAGGCGGTAAATCCAGGCTTTGTTGGGCGTTAGCGTTCCCTGAATGATATTTTCCCATGCCTTCTCAACTCCCGAAGAACCACCAACTCCAGTGCCCCAAACCAGTTCCATGTCTCCAAGGTACTTCTCGCCTACCGCTTTCTCGAATGCAGCTTCGTTGTCTCTGAAGAAGCTCTCCGCGCCTTCCGCCTCAACACCATCGTCAATGACCCAAGTCGTGTTCAGTTGAACAGGGACACCCCACTTCCCTCGCAAGCCCATAAGTGCCTGGAACTCCTCTGGAGATTGCATCTTTGGCTCGCCGCCAATCAAGACCAGAGTGAAGCTTGTACCTTCCGGTAACTTGGCGGCCAGAGCTTCGCGGAGCCGCTCTGTGACTTCCACGGGGCCTCCGTTGTCAAAAACCACAACGCGCTTAGGCTGGACACTAGCAATCCAGTCGACCGTCTCTTTAGCAGCAAGTTCGTCGTACTTCACATTCTTGATCCCGAAGGGAGCCTCGGGGGAAGGACTCAAAGACTGAGGTGAAGAAGTGGCGTTCAGCCATGCAAGAGGTCCATTAGTGTCCGGTTTACGGTTCCGGGCAAAGTTCCAGGTGATGCTCCGCCCCGTCCGGCTTGATGCGGAGAGGTTGACAACGACGGCGGAGCTCAGATCCCCGTCCTTGTCGGTCCACTTACCACCATACTGGCCAGTAGGGTGAACTCCTTTAAACTCCGTCGGGAAGCTGAAGCGGTTAAGTACGTAGCCCGCGTTCCAGATAGGATACGCGTTTGCGAAAATGGCTCTGAACTCCTCTGGTTTAGCGGACTCGTCGACGAGGTTGTACCGGTTGTAGATGCTTCCGAGCTCCTTCCTGTGGTCGCTCACCTCGCGGAAGTGACCCTTGGGCTCGTGTGGTACGAGGTTGAGATCAACTTCGTGTGATGAGGTAGGCCAGTAGCCGTAGACAAGACTGCCGGAGGGAATGGCCTCGATGTTCGACTCGAGAACCCTGGCGAAACCCCACGCAGGCACGATACCCCACTCACCCTGGTTGTTGTACGGGGCGGGGCCGTCGAGAGGGACGGGCCAGGTGGACCACCAATGGAGCATGTCTCCGAGCTTGGCATATGAGAGGTTGTTGGATGTGATGCCGATGAGAGTTGAGCGCGCCCGGATGGACGAGGGGGCTAAGGGGGGAAGAGACAGATTGACTGAGATTGTCTCATGTTTGGTGAGGTCCTTCTTGGAAATGACGAGAATTTCGGCCGCCATATTGCTGGCAGTGTGATGAGTGCAGTTGTGTGAGTATGACTTCGCTGGTGGTTGATTAAGGATCAAACGGAACACAGTGAGAGGGGTTGTGGTTTTAACCTGAAGTTTAATTCTTGAGCTGCCGACAATTGCCAAGGGTCAGCAGCGGACCGAGCAGATGGGGCGGCATCAAACGGGCATCTTACATCGAGTGTGAAGTAAGACCTAAACCGCATCGAGGCTTGAATTTAGCATGTTAGTGGTCCCGTCGCACTGAACCGGCTAGCCGGTTGGCGCCCGCATTTGATTTGAATCCGCGGGCCACTGTCAGTCATCAGCAAAGAGTCATCCCTACAGGGATCAAAGTGGATGCATGTTTGAATCTTTCTCCACGGAAAAATCCTTCGTAAGCTGATTTCACATCCGATCAACTGACTGAATGTGTAGCTGATAGGCTTTTACGACTTTTCTGTGATGAAAGTACACACACTGTCATACTTGGATGTGCGGATGAGCCGGGCGTTGCGCGATTCGGGAATCACTCTGGCTGACGCGGAGTTCAATGGGCGGACAAAACCTAGTATTGTGTACCACATAATACTTGGGGACGAGCAATCCATCGAAGACTTGAGTACGAATGAATTGAATATGAAGTTGCTATTAAATTGTTTCAATT